ATGCCCAAAATTCCTTCAATTTCTTAAAAAATAAAACACCATGAGCACCAAGATTCTCTCAAGTGAAAAAATACCAGGGATCCCAAAATTCTTTAGACTCTTAAAAAAATAAAACACCAAGACCCCAAGATTCTGTCAATTTCTTAAAAAAACAGAATCTTAAGTTGGACTTCTTTAAAAAAATAAAACACCACAGAATCCCAAGATACTTTAGATTTCTTCAAAAAAATAAACCACCAGTGAGCTTGGAGATATTTCTGACTTCCTTAAAAAAAAGCACTTAAGATTCTTGAGATTCTTTCGGCTTCTTTAAAAAAAAAACACCACTAATGACCAAGATTCCTTCGATTTCTTAAAAAAATAAAACACCATGAGCACCAAGATTCTGTCAAGTAAAAAAATACCAGGGATCCCAAGATTCTTTAGACTCATAAAAAAATGAAACACCAAGACACCAAGATTCTGTCAATTTCTTAAAAAAACACAATCTTAAGTTGGACTTCTTTAAAAAAAAACAAAACACCACAAAATCACAAGATTCTTCTGATTTCTTCAAAAAAATAAACCATCAGTGAGCTTGGAGATATTTCTGACTTCTTTAAAAAAAAGCACTTAGGATTCTTGAGATTCTTTGGACTTCTTTAAAAAGAAAGTAAAACCCGGGGAACTCCTTTAAATTTTTGGAAAAATTAAATACCAGAAGTGCCCGAGATTGTTTTGCCTTCTTTAAAAAAAAACAAAACACCTGGAATTCTTGAGATTCTTTGGACTTCTTTAAAAAAAAAAAAAACCACTAATGCCCAAAATTCCTTCTATTTCTTAAAAAAATAAAACACCATGAGCACCAAAATTGTGAAGTAAAAAAATACCAGGGATCAAAAGATTCTTTAGACTCTTAAAAATAATAAAACTCCAAGACCCCAAGATCCTGTCAATTTCTTAAAAAAACACAATCTTACGTTGGACTTCTTTAAAAAAATAAAACACCACATAATCTCAAGATTCTTCAGATTTCGTCAAAAAAATAAAGCACCAGTGAGCTTGGAGATATTTCTGACTTCTTTAAAAAAAAAGCACTTAGGATTCTTGAGATTCTTTGGACTTCTTTAAAAAAAGAAACCCACTAATGCCCAAAATTCCTTCTATTTCTTAAAAAAATAAAACACCATGAGCACCAAAATTGTGAAGTAAAAAAATACCAGGGATCAAAAGATTCTTTAGACTCTTAAAAATAATAAAACTCCAAGACCCCAAGATTCTGTCAATTTCTTAAAAAAACACAATCTTACGTTGGACTTCTTTAAAAAAATAAAACACCACATAATCCCAAGATTCTTCAGATTTCGTCAAAAAAATAAAGCACCAGTGAGCTTGGAGATATTTCTGACTTCTTTAAAAAAAAGCACTTTGGATTCTTCAGATTCTTTGGACTTGTTTAAAAAAAAATAGAACCCGAGGGAACTCCTTTAAATTTTTTTGAAAAATTAAATACTAGAAGTGCCTGAAATTGTTTTGCCTTCTTTTAAAAAAAAACAAAACACCTGGAATTCTTGAGATTCTTTGGACTTCTTTAAAAAAAAAAAACTCACTAATGCCCAAAATTCCTTCGATTTCTTAAAAAAATAAAACACCAAGAGCACCAAGATTCTGTCAAGTAAAAAAATAGCAGAGATCCCAAGATTCTTTAGACTCTTAAAAAAAATAAAACACCAAGACCCCAAGACTCTGTCATTGTCTTAAAAAAACACAATCTTAAGATGGACTTCTTTAAAAAATAAAACACCACAGAAGCCCAAGATTCTTCAGATTTCTTCACAACTATAAACTGCCAGTGAGCTTCCAGATATTTCTGACTTCTTTAAAAAAAAAGCACTTTGGATTCCTGAGATTCTTTGGACTTCTTAAAAAAAAAGTAGAACCCGAGGAACTCCTTTAAAATTTTTTGAAAAATTAAATACCGGAAGTGACCGAGATTGTTTCGCCTTCTTTTAAAAAGACAAAACACCTGGAATTTTTGAGATTCTTTGGACTTCTTTAAAAAAAACACCACTCAATCCCAAAATTCCTTCTATTTCTTAAAAAAATAAAGCACCATGAGGACCAAGATTCTGTCAAGTAAAAAAATACCAGGGATCACAAAATTCTTTAGACTCTTAAAAAAAATAAAACACCAAGACCCCAAGATTCTGTCAATTTCTTAAAAAAAACAATCTTAAGATGGACTTATTTAAAAAAATAAAACACCATAGAATCCCACGATTCTTCAGATTTCTTCAAAACAATAAACCACCAGTGAGCTTGGAGATATTTCTGACTTCTTTAAAAAAAAGCACTTAAGATTCTTGAGATTCTTTCGGCTTCTTTAAAAAAAAAACACCACTAATGACCAAGATTCCTTCGATTTCTTAAAAAAATAAAACACCATGAGCACCAAGATTCTGTCAAGTAAAAAAATACCAGGGATCCCAAGATTCTTTAGACTCATAAAAAAATAAAACACCAAAGCCCCAAGATTCTGTCAATTTCTTAAAAAAACACAATCTTAAGTTGGACTTCTTTAAAAAAACAAAACACCACAGAATCACAAGATTCTTCTGATTTCTTCAAAAAAATAAACCATCAGTGAGCTTGGAGATATTTCTGACTTCTTTAAAAAAAAAAGCACTTAGGATTCTTGAGATTCTTTGGACTTCTTTAAAAAGAAAGTAGAACCCGGGGAACTCCTTTAAATTTTTGGAAAAATTAAATACCAGAAGTGCCCGAGATTGTTTTGCCTTCTTTTAAAAAAAACAAAACACCTGGAATTCTTGAGATTCTTTGGACTTCTTTAAAAAAAAAACCCACTAATGCCCAAAATTCCTTCTATTTCTTAAAAAAATATAACACCATGAGCACCAAAATTGTGAAGTAAAAAAAATACCAGGGATCAAAAGATTCTTTAGACTCTTAAAAATAATAAAACTCCAAGACCCCAAGATTCTGTCAATTTCTTAAAAAAACACAATCTTACGTTGGACTTCTTTAAAAAAATAAAACACCACATAATCTCAAGATTCTTCAGATTTCGTCAAAAAAATAAAGCACCAGTGAGCTTGGAGATATTTCTGACTTCTTTAAAAAAAAGCACTTAGGATTCTTGAGATTCTTTGGACTTGTTTAAAAAAAAATAGAACCCGAGGGAACTCCTTTAAATTTTTTTGAAAAATTAAATACTAGAAGTGCCTGAAATTGTTTTGCCTTCTTTTAAAAAAAAACAAAACACCTGGAATTCTTGAGATTCTTTGGACTTCTTAAAAAAAAAAAAACTCACTAATGCCCAAAATTCCTTCGATTTCTTAAAAAAATAAAACACCAAGAGCACCAAGATTCTGTCAAGTAAAAAAATAGCAGAGATCCCAAGATTCTTTAGACTCTTAAAAAAAATAAAACACCAAGACCCCAAGACTCTGTCATTTTCTTAAAAAAACACAATCTTAAGATGGACTTCTTTAAAAAATAAAACACCACAGAAGCCCAAGATTCTTCAGATTTCTTTAAAACTATAAACTGCCAGTGAGCTTCCAGATATTTCTGACTTCTTTAAAAAAAAAGCACTTTGGATTCCTGAGATTCTTTGGACTTCTTTAAAAAAAAAGTAGAACCCGAGGAACTCCTTTAAATTTTTTTGAAAAATTAAATACCGGAAGTGCCCGAGATTGTTTCGCCTTCTTTTAAAAAGACAAAACACCTGGAATTTTTGAGATTCTTTGGACTTCTTTAAAAAAAACACCACTCAATCCCAAAATTCCTTCTATTTCTTAAAAAAATAAAGCACCATGAGGACCAAGATTCTGTCAAGTAAAAAAATACCAGGGATCACAAAATTCTTTAGACTCTTAAAAAAAATAAAACACCAAGACCCCAAGATTCTGTCAATTTCTTAAAAAAACACAATCTTAAGATGGACTTCTTTAAAAAAATAAAACACCACGGAATCCCACGATTCTTCAGATTTCTTTAAAAAAATAAACCACCAGTGAGCTTGGAGATATTTCTGACTTCATAAAAAAAAAGCACTTAGGATTCTTCAGATTCTTTGGACTTCTTTAAAAAAAACTAATGCTCAAAATTCGTTCGATTTCTTAAAAAAATAGAACACCATGAGCAGCAAGATTCCGTCAAGTTTTAAAGAACACTAGAAATTCCCAAGATAGACTTCTTTTAAAAAAAATAGGAAAAATAAAATAAAATAACACATTATTTCAACCTCTTAATAAAAAACAAAACACCTGGGTTCCTTGAGTATCTTTGGAATAAAAAAAACTAATAAGTAAAACACCAGGATTCTACCAAGTTCTTAAAAATAAAAACACCAGAAATTATTCAGATTCCTTTGATTAAAAAAATTATATTAATAAAAATAAAACACCAGGGATTCCCGAGATTGTTGCTAAAAAAAAAATGAAACACCGGAAACTTTCAAGATTGACAAAACAGAATGACACAAGTGACAGATAACGGGTGTTCAGCTGAAAAAATCATTAAGTTGGCGAAAAACGCCCGTGTTTTATGACATTTGACACATTTGTTGAAAAGCGTTAAATGTATTATACGAAAAAGTAAGGTTAAGTTCATATTCAGCGTTGTCACCCATCACCGATTAAATTTTAGGTTCATTGTATTGTCGACAAACTCCACAATGTTTACAAAAAATCAAAGCCAACTTGATATAAAAGCAACATGACATGACGTCAACTTAAATAACAAATAACGCCTCTTGTCACAAGCTTCCTCCGCGCCTTTCCCGCCGATTCAAACCCGCCAATCCCCTCGCGTCACGTGCCGCCTTCCCGCCCCGCCATTGGCCAGCACGTCCCCACCCTGCACACCTGTTGCCCGCTTATGCAACCCATTAAACGGGAATTCGCCGTCCTTCGCGCCGCCACAAACCACCAACCGGTCCGCCTCGGCCTTGACTTTGCGTTATTTGTTTAATTATTTCGTAATGCCGGTGAGAGTTCGGCTGTTGTCAAAGCCGCCCAGTCGCCAGTCCACGTCCGAGGCTCGCAGTGCTCGCACGTGACGCATTGATTTTCCCTTGCCGGATCAATACGCGATGCCCGCCACCGACTGAATTCCTCCGTGTCTGCGCATTGTTTTCGTTAACCTCGACACTGTGGCGGCGGTGGCGTTCGAGTGGATGTGTGTCGGGATGGACTAATTTTTTTTTGAGTTTTTGACTTGGAGCTGACATGAAACTGATCCCGGTGAATTACTTCGGCTTCACGGCCATGGACAGGCGCTTCTCCAGCCCCATGCTGCCCTGGATCGTCTCGGAGATCCGCAAGAGGGAGTACAGCGAGAAGGTAAGGCCGGCGGGCGCACCGGGGCTGAGGCGCGTTGAATTGTTATGTAAGAGCGTAAGACCGGGGTTATCTGGCGTGGAAAGAAGGAAATTGCGGCGAGGGGCGCGAGGTTTAATTGTGTTTTGTTGTACTTACCATTGTTGGTGATAAGAATGGGAAAAAGCAGAGTTTTTGCGGTGGATCAGGCAAGGTCAGGCTGGAAATTGTTGGGATTGGCGTCATATTTTCATAAAACGGAATGTAAATTGCTGATTATTCGAATTACCCACGGTTAGTTTGTAAGAAACGTGCATTGTCTTTTTTAACATTGAAATAACATCCGGTTGGAAAGAGATCTTGTTTAGAATTGTGATGGTTGGAAGCATGTGGTTTTTGAGAAAAAACAGAAACTTTGCAGTTTTGCTTTTTCTCGACTGTCAAAACATAGTAGACAAAAAGCACTGTTTTAAACAATGCATGTTTTACATGATAAATTACGCTGTCAAGGGAGCGATAAAGTTGAAAAGATTGCTATATAATCCGTACTAAATATTTACTTGTCATAGACAATGCGTTTTATCATTTGTTTTTATAATGTTATGTATACCTAGTGATTTAGTTTGGCATTCGTAGTTGTGGAACTTTCAATTGGTCAATCAATGTGACTTAATATGTATGTAAATAATATTAACACAGCTCACTTTCTCGTTTCGAACTTACCATTCTTGTTAACGTTACCTATTACAAAATCTCTTTTAATTTACCCAAAGTAAACAAATAAATAAAACAACACATGAAACAACCGGAAGGTAAAGAAACAAAGTAAACATTTGGAGGAACAGAAATTTAAAATCGAAAATTCACAAAAACGACTATTTATATGTCAACGAAGGTGACCAGAATTGGACAACTACAACAAACTTGTTTCAAGATGTTTGAATATGTAGATTTATAGAAGAGATAAAGCAAGAGCCGCGATATTATTTCAAATTCTTTCAAAATTAAAACATCAGGAATTCCCGAAAATTCTTGGACTTCTTAAAGAAAAATAATACACTCGAATCCTCGATTTTTTTATTAAAAAAAAAGATCATTTCAAGTTCTTGAAAAAAAAAAAAATAAAACACCATGGGTCTCCCAAATTCTTTCTTTTTCCTGTGACTTCTTAAGATTATCTTAAGAATTTCTTCAGGCTTCTTTAAAAGATTGAACCACCAGGAATTCCCTAGATTTTTTGGACTTCTTTAAAAAATAAAACACCACGGACACGTAAGATTATTCAGACATTTAAAAAAAATAAAATACAGGGCTTCCAAGATGCTTTTGACAGTTTAAAATTAGTTCTTTGAAAGAATGAAACACTAGCAGCCGAAAATATTCTTTAGACTTCTTTAAAAAACTACCCTAGGTCCCCAAAATATTTAAAATAGAAAAACATCAATTGTCCTCGACATTCATTGCAAGAATAGAATACCAGTGGTTCCTCAAATTCCTCGGACTTCCTAAAAAATAGAACACCTGAGACCTAAGACTTCTTAAAAAAACATCAGGGATCCCCAAGATTCTTCCGACTGCTTTAAAAAATAAAAGACCATGAGCCTCCATGATTCCACAACATTTTTTAAACAATAAAATACCAATGGTCTTCGAGATTCCTTCGACTTCTTTGAAAGAATAAAACACCAGGTATTCCCAGATTCTTTGGACTTCTTAAAAATAAAACACCGGGGCCTAAAAGATTCTTTAGGCTTCTTTAAAAAACACAATGGGGCCCAAGGTTCTCTAACAAAGAATAAAACGCTTGGGATTCCCAAGATTCTTTGGACTTCTTAAAAATAAAACACCAGGCGCCTAAGAGATTCTTTAGACTTCCTAAAAAAACACATCATTCGGCATCTTTGAAAGAATAAAACCGGAGATTTCCGAGATTCCTTGGACTTCTTAAAAAAAAAAATAAACAATCAGGGCTCCCCCGATATTCTTTGGACAAAATAAAATAAAATATCCGAGATTTTCGGAATTCTTTGGACTTCTTAAAATTAAAACACCAGGGGCCTAAAAGATTCTTTAGAATTCATTAGACTTCTCTGAAGAATATATATGTCAGAGATTTCCAAGATTCTTTGAACTTCTTAAAAATAAAACACCAGGGAACTTAAAAGATTCTTTATACTTCTTAAAAAATAAAACACCAGAGGCCCAAGAGATTCTTTCCAATTCTTTAAGAAAAAATAAAATATCAGGGATTCTATTTTTTGGACTTCAAAGAAAATAAAACAAAACACCAAAGTCCTAAACGATTCTTTACATTTCTTTAAATAAATGAAACACCAGGGGCTTAAAAAATTCTTTATACTTCTTTAAAAATACCATGGGCCCCCAAGATTCTCTAACGTTCTTTCTGGACTCTTTCAAACAATAAAACACCAAGGATTTTTTGGACTTCTTTACATAATCCCAAGATTCTTCCGACTTCTTAAAAAAATATAATAACAGGGATTTCCGAGATTTTTGGACTTCTTAAAAATAAAACACCACAGGCCTAAAAAATTCTTTAGACTTCTTAAAAAAACACGATGGAATCCCAAGATTCTTTAACGGTTTTTAAAACAATAAAACACCAATGGTTCTCGAGATTTGTTCGGCTTCTTTGAAAGAATAAAACACCCGGGACTCCCGAAATTCTTTGGACTTCTTAAAAAAAATAACCAGAGGTCCCCGAGATTCTTTCGACTTCTTCAAAATAAAATAAAATATCGGAGATTTTCGAAATTCTTTGGACTTCTTTATCATAAAATACCAAGGGAATAAAAAATTCTTTACACTTCTTTAAAAAATACCATGGGTCTCCAAAATTCTTTAACGTTCCTTTTGGCTTCTTTTAAAATATAAAATATCAGGGATTCCCAAGATTTTTTGGACTTTTTTAAAACATAAATAACCATAGGTTCCCCTGGATTGTTTCGACATCTTAAAAAATATGTCAGGGATCTCCTAGATTTTTTCAACCTCTTAAAATAAAACACCACGAGCCTAAAAGATTATTTGGACTTCTTCAAATAATCAGAAGCTTCCGAGATTATTTCGACTTAAAAAAATATATATAATAGGGATTTCCGAGATTTTTGGACTTCTTAAAAATAAAACACCAGGCACACGTAAGATTATTCAGACATTTAAAAAAAATAAAATACAGGGCTTCCAAGATGCTTTTGACAGTTTAAAATTAGTTCTTTGAAAGAATGAAACACTAGCAGCCGAAAATATTCTTTAGACTTCTTTAAAAAACTACCCTAGGCCCCCAAAATATTTAAAATAGAAAAACATCAATTGTCCTCGAGATTCATTGCAAGAATAGAATACCAGTGGTTCCTCAAATTCCTCGGACTTCCTAAAAAATAGAACACCTGAGACCTAAGACTTCTTAAAAAAACATCAGGGATCCCCAAGATTCTTCCGACTGCTTTAAAAAATAAAAGACCATGAGCCTCCATGATTCCACAACATTTTTTAAACAATAAAATACCAATGGTCTTCGAGATTCCTTCGACTTCTTTGAAAGAATAAAACACCAGGTATTCCCAGATTCTTTGGACTTCTTTAGAAAAATAACCAGTGGTCCCCCGAGATGCTTTCAACTTCTCCAAAATAAAATAAAATATCAGGGATTTTCCATATTCTTTGGACTTCTTAAAAATAAAACACCGGGGCCTAAAAGATTCTTTAGGCTTCATTAAAAATCACCATGGGGCCCAAGGTTCTCTAACAAAGAATAAAACGCTTGGGATTCCCAAGATTCTTTGGACTTCTTAAAAATAAAACACCAGGCGCCTAAGAGATTCTTTAGACTTCCTAAAAAAACACATCATTCGGCATCTTTGAAAGAATAAAACCGGAGATTTCCGAGATTCCTTGGACTTCTTTAAAAAAAAAAAAAAACAATCAGGGCTCCCCCGATATTCTTTGGACAAAATAAAATAAAATATCCGAGATTTTCGGAATTCTTTGGACTTCTTAAAATTAAAACACCAGGGGCCTAAAAGATTCTTTAGAATTCATTAGACTTCTCTGAAGAATATATATGTCAGAGATTTCCGAGATTCTTTGAACTTCTTAAAAATAAAACACCAGGGAACTTAAAAGATTCTTTATACTTCTTAAAAAATAAAACACCAGAGGCCCAAGAGATTCTTTCCAATTCTTTAAGAAAAAATAAAATATCAGGGATTCTATTTTTTGGACTTCAAAGAAAATAAAACAAAACACCAAAGTCCTAAACGATTCTTTACATTTCTTTAAATAAATGAAACACCAGGGGCTTAAAAAATTCTTTATACTTCTTTAAAAATACCATGGGCCCCCAAGATTCTCTAACGTTCTTTCTGGACTCTTTCAAACAATAAAACACCAAGGATTTTTTGGACTTCTTTACATAATCCCAAGATTCTTCCGACTTCTTAAAAAAATATAATAACAGGGATTTCCGAGATTTTTGGACTTCTTAAAAATAAAACACCACAGGCCTAAAAAATTCTTTAGACTTCTTAAAAAAACACGATGGAATCCCAAGATTCTTTAACGGTTTTTAAAACAATAAAACACCAATGGTTCTCGAGATTTGTTCGGCTTCTTTGAAAGAATAAAACACCCGGGACTCCCGAAATTCTTTGGACTTCTTAAAAAAAATAACCAGAGGTCCCCGAGATTCTTTCGACTTCTTCAAAATAAAATAAAATATCGGAGATTTTCGAAATTCTTTGGACTTCTTTAACATAAAATACCAAGGGAATAAAAAATTCTTTACACTTCTTTAAAAAATACCATGGGTCTCCAAAATTCTTTAACGTTCCTTTTGGCTTCTTTTAAAATATAAAATATCAGGGATTCCCAAGATTTTTTGGACTTTTTTAAAACATAAATAACCATAGGTTCCCCTGGATTGTTTCGACATCTTAAAAAATATGTCAGGGATCTCCTAGATTTTTTCAACCTCTTAAAATAAAACACCACGAGCCTAAAAG